ATATTTACAAATGTATTTTATAGATTTTACAGAGTTACAGTACTCTACATTAATATGAGCACCAAATGTACGTGAAAGCAAGCACTGGGTTATACGGCACTACCCGACGATTATCAAGTGTCTTACCATTTGTTTCAACAGTAAAACCACCATTTTCTGGAGTTCTTCGCCTATACTTTGGATACCCGCGTCTCCTGTCTGTGTTTCTTGAATGAAAGGTCTAGGATACTTCTTGCTATCTGAATCCATACAGGGTGATCTATTGTTTGAATTACCGCAAGGCCCATGGATCATATTGGCTTTGATAATATCGTATAGGAGAGAATCTTTTTCAGGATCAGGTATTTCCGCACTAATGATACAATCTAATTTATCTGGAGAAATGCGCTGTTTTAGCCATAACAAAATATGTATGTGTGGTAAACCACGTTTTTGCCATTCGACCGAATACATAAAACATTGCACTTCCCCAAACAAATTCCCTTTTGTTAACAATATCATTAACGTCTTAACTTTTAAATGAAATATCCTAGCTATAATATTATGACGATCGTAGGACTTTTGTTTAGATAGTGATGCATTTGAAACTTCTTTCCATCGAGGATTACATGTAAAAGTTATGAATAAATCAGGACGACCGTAATGACGAACGTATGTCATGGCGTCCTGAGTTTTTTCATGCATATACCGTGGTGAGCCAGTAAAGGATGACGGAAGCTCTACCATCTGACCAAGATGGGTAAGATCTTGTAAGTATCTTGTCTCCCAATAGCATCTCTGAGATGTATGTAATTATCAGCTCTGAATTGTATTTGATTGTTTTTAATAAAATTTAAACGCTCTGTTTCAATTTTAGCATACATATCAACTAAATATTGATTAAAAAGTGATCTTAAGTACAGTAAATGGTTGATTTCCGTTTGTCTAATCATGATGTGGTAAGAATAAAATTGCGATGCAGAAACTGTTTTCTGAAGTGGTAATTTAGTTTTTGCTTCAATCTAAGAGATATTAATGAAATAACCATCCTCCTCATGACAGAAAAGTAATGGGTACTAGAGTGTATCGTATGAACGGTGCAATTCATTAGGCCGTTGCAATTTGTTATCATGACTTAACACAATATCTCGTTTTTCGAATTGTTGTCCAACTATGACCAATGATACTTCACTTGTTGTTGGTGCATTATAACGTCCTCTGTGAGCATTATCAGCATTATCAGCGTGTATTATAATTTCAAAGTTTTTACTATTTTGAAGTACTCTTTCGAGTGTGGTTTTCAAGTCCTTTATGTTTGGGTTATTGTGGTGCAACATCGCTTGTAATTGTTTTACCAAGCTTTGATTTACATCAGCGAAGTGGCTATGTCTTAAGCATGTTTATCTCTCATCATCTCCAACGAAATAAATCTGTAGAAATTGAGGGTTTTGTTGAGGTAAAGCTTGCAAACTACCAATTAAATGATACACCTGACCTTTCACTATGAATGTGGGCATAAACCCATCTTCGATAATTTGTTTCGCCCCAAAAGATGTCATTTGGAAGCAGTTATTGTATTTTCTAATACAGCCCATGAAATTTTTGTGATCAGGATGGAACCCCATAATCAAACTGTAAAGAGGTTGTAAGGTTTCGGCCTCCACCTCGGTGGGCTTACTCATTACCCACTGTTGAGGGGGAACACTCAACAGTGACCTAAAAGCCGGACCAAACACAACAAAGTTGCGTTGGCTGAACTAGTAGGTTTTTTTTTGTCATGTTTTTTTTTTAAATAAGGGAGAAAAAAAAAGAGAGAGAGCTCGGTCCATTAATGGTTTTAGATTTATTAGAATTTTGTAACATAAATGTTAGAACGGTCTAGAAATGGACTAAAGGGGGAAAACAAAATTAGGAAAAGTGCTGAGAGATAAAAAAAAACAAAAATATTATTAATTTGTTAAATTTTAGGGGGTTCCTGGTGATTCTGACTTGATATTACTGTTGTTGTTGTTGTTGTTGTTGTTGTCGCACGGCTCCTCTGTTCGCGATCCACCGCAGACCACAGTCGGTACGCCTAGCCCATCATGTTGGCGCCGAACATCATGCCAAAAGGAAGAGTGTGTTTTTCTTTTTGAGACCCACTCGGCGCGGACAGTTTGGGCTTACGACGTTGGATCAATCCCACTGTCGAATCGTAACGTAACGTATATTTTTGGTGTGGGACTCGGTGGTGACCGGGACGTCGGGCAGCAGTGGCGACAGCA